GTACGCGTGCGTGGGCGCCCTCTGCAACTTACCTGGCTGCTTCTTGCTCCTTGTGGCCTAACTGAGGGCTGCTGGGAGCAGGGGGCGGGGCTTGCTGCATGTGCCTGCCCCCTGGGCTCCTTACTGCCAGAGCTCCACTCCTGTGCGCTCCTACAGGAAATGACCCCTGCTAGGGATATCTAGAGACCGTGGAATGTGGCGATGACATCATCACAGTGCGCCAAGGCCTAAAAGATCTCCTCTCTTTCTGAACTTTTAGGCCCTTAACTGGGCTGGGCCTTCCCTCCCCTTTCACCAACCTCCAACTAGGGTTCCCAACTGGAGATCTCCCCAGAATTGCAACTGATCTCCAGACTACAGAAATCATTTCCCCTGGAGAAAATGGCAGCTTTGGAGCACGGGTGCTATGGCACTGAGGCCCCGCCTCTCCCCAACCCGCCCTCCCCAAGCTCCACCCCCAAATTGCCATAGATTTCCCAAGTCCAAAATGGCAACCCTACATCTCCCAATGGAGGTCACTAACATCACTTGGAAAATAACATCCCTTTAAGCCTCCGTTAAAGGGACGGGGCATTTTTTCTCCAGGCCTGCGGGCAATCCTGCATACGAGAAACAGAATGCGCACAAACATTTTGTTCTTCAAGAGAGAAACAGTTAAGTACTCGGTCTGACCTGCCACCTCCACGTCTCGGCCTTTTGCCGATTCATCAGGAAATCTTCCACGAGGCTCAGAGCTTGGGCGCCGTTCTCTGGCCCCCCTTCCCTGACCCACTTCTGTAGCTCGTGAGGCAGGATGGCCAGGAACTGCTCCAGGATCAGCAGCTCCAGGATCTGCTCCTTGGTGTGCCCCTCGGGCCTCAGCCACCGATGACAAAGTTCTCGCAGCCGGCCGTAAACCTTTCGCGGCTCGTCCGTCTCCTGGCAGCGGAACTGCCTGAACTGCTGGCGCCGTGTCTCCACACGCAGGGCGTTCCCTCGCAAGATGGCGGCCTTCACTTTCCCATAGTCCTCCCTGTCCCCGGCTTCCAAATGGCCAAAGAACTGCACGACGTCTCTGCTAAGTGCCGGCAGGAGTCGGCTCGCCCACTCTGCCCTGGGCCAATGACAGGCTCCGGCGATCTGCTCAAAAGAGGACAGGAAGGCCTTGATGTTGTCACACGGGGTGGACTCTGTCAGGAGCGGGTTCCCACAGCCCCTGTGGGGGTGCTCCAGCCCCCTCAGGAAATCCTGGCACTGGGCATCCCAGAGGTGTTGCTGGTCCTTACAGAATTCCTGGCCCGAGACTCTCGACTCTGGCTGTTCCATCGCGCACTCCGGGAGACCCCCCAGGGGAGGCTTTCCGGCTTCTTCCGGGCTCTCTTCCTGTTTGGGAGGCCCTGCGGGGCCTTCCTCTTCCATTTCCACTCTCAGCGGTCGGTATCGGTCTGATTCAGAAGTGGCAACCGTGCCGACTGAACGGCCCAGTCCAGCCTGATCTCCTCAGATCTCGGAAGCTGAGCAGGGTCCGTCCTGGTTCGTGCTTGGATGGGAAATTGCCTTGACCCCGATGGCCCAGGCTAGCCCAGTCTTGGAAGGGAAGCAGATCTCAGAAGCTAAGCTAGGCCCTGGTTAGTACTCGGACGGGAGACCCCCCGAGGAAGCCCAGAGTCGCTGTGCAGAGGAAGGCGACGGCAAACCACCTCTCAACGTCTCTTTGCCTTGGAAACCTAACGGGGTTCGCCATAAGCCGGCTGCAATTGGAGGACGCTTTCTACCGCCAGCCTCGGCTCACTCGGTTGCTGTTAGCCAGACAGGGTGGATGGCCGTCTTTCAGGACAACCCAGAGGAACTGTCAGAGGTCGCCAGCACCATTTCCTGGGGCCATGACTGGCCTGCATTCAAGACAGTGTCTCTCTATGTGAAAAAGACATGCAAAAAGGAATGTGAAGATGCCAGCAAGAAAGACACGGTGCGGTGGCTCAAGTGGTTAAGGCGCTGAACTGCAGGCTGTGGAAGGTCGGTAGTTCAGCAGTTCGAGACCCGGGTTGCTGCATGACGGAGTGAGCTCCCGTCTCTAGTTCCAGCTCCTGCCAACCTAGCAGTTCGAAAGCAAGAAATTGCAAGTAGATAAATAGGTACCACTTCGGTGGGAAGGTAACAGCGTTCCGTGCGCCTCGATGTCTAGTCATGCCGGCCACATGACCACGGAAACGTCTTCGGACGGCGCTGGCTCTTTGGCTTTGAAACGGAGATGAGCACCGTTGACTGGCTTTCGAGCAAGGGAACCTTTACCTTTTTACCATGGAGCAGCCCTCACCCACATGGCCCAGGCTGGGCCAATCATGTCAGATCCTGGAAACTAAGCAGGATCGGCCCTGGTTAGTACTTGGATGGGAGACCACTGAGGAAGTCCAGGGTCATGATACAGAAGCTGGCAATGGCAAACCACCTCTGAACATCCCTTGCCTTGAAAACCCCGTGGAGGTACCGTAAGCAGGGGTCATTTCGTAGAAAAAGAGCTAGGGGAACTCATTAGCATAACTCATTAGCATATGCCACACCCCCTGACATCAGGGGCCCGGTGGTGGACCTGCAAGGCCGGCAGGAGTGCAAGGAACACCCGCGAAGGCCCTCCCTGGCCCCAGGCAGGCAGGGGTGGGGAGAGGCGGGGAGGAAGCAACTTACCCTCCCTCTTCTCCTGCCTCCTCCTGGCTGAATGAGGGCCGGAAGCGGGGCGGCCGGAAGCAGGGGGTGGGGCTTCATCGTGTGCCCCGCCCCCTGCACCTCACCCGGGGGAACTGCGTTCCCCCGCGATCCCCCCCGAAATGACCTCTGACCATAAGTCAGCTGCGACTTGAGGGCACTTTTCACCCATGCGGATCAGCCCCTTCCCACTGATTTTTTAAAAAAACGTCTGATCTTCTTTTGAAGCTAGTGTGGTATAGCGGTTAGTGTGCCAGACTAGGATCTGGGAGACTCGGGTTCAAATCCCACTGTGCCGTGGAAGTTCCCTGGATGACCTTCAGCCTGGCCCTCTTGTTCAGCCTCGCCTCCCTCACAGGATTGTTGTTATGTTAAAATGGAGGAAGGGGAAACGATGTGGTTAATTGCTTTGGGTCCCCATTTAGGAGAAAAGCAGGTTATAAATATCTCAATAAATACCTCACAATATATTTAACATTGTGCTTTATTAATTATTATTTTCTTTGAATGTTTGGGTTTGCCCAGGTGTATGTGTTTACTGTCATTTGCACTTGTGGATCTTGCTGCTTGGGTATGCTTTTATAGATCTACTAGTCTCCTCAGACTCCATCAGGAACTTTCCAACCCAGAGTGGGCAAACCTAGTCAAGCCTGGCCCTAATGAATCCTCCCTCAAAGGCTGGCCTGCCCCCTCCATTGCCTTTTACTGACAGAACCCAGCCTGGAATACTGTGGTTGCCTAGCAACAGCCATTGAGGGAATCTGTTGCTTAAAGCTACAGGCGCTCCTTTGATCGCTTCCAGATTTTTTTAAGGCCCCCACAGTTTTATTGTTTTTTAGATTTCACATTTTCTTGCAAACCTAGGGCCCTTTTCAGTTTTGTAGAAAGATCTGTCTTGCTTGTTCACTGCTCCAATCACTGGATTTAAGTATCCAAAGACTGGCCAGCTTCATTATTAGAATAGAAGAGAATCTTTGTTATTATAATATCATTATTATGATCTTCTCTGAAAGGCTGGGACAGAATGAAAATTAAATCCATGAAGAAACAACGCTCACAGTCTTCAATTAGGGATTCCAACTGTAGGCTGAGAACTTTCTGGACATTTGCGGGGGTAGAGCCGGGGGGGGGGGTTGGGGAAGAGCAGGACCTCAGCTGGGTATAATAATGCCATACAGCCCACCCTCTGAAGCTTCCATTTCCTCCAGGAGAATGGGTTTCTGTAGACTGGAGATCAGTCATAATTCTGGGAAATCTCCAGGCCTCACCTGGAGGTTGGCAACCCTAATGCTAACTGGCTCGGGAGATTTAGGGGCTATGCTTGGGGAGTGATTTCCATTTCTCCTAGACTCTGTAGTATAACACAGACACCACTCTCCGAAGCTGCTATTTTCTCCAATTTGGTGTCGTGGTTAGGTGTGCGGACTCTAATCTGGGAGAACTGGGTTTGATTCCCCCACTCCTCCAGATGCAGCTGCTGGTGTGACTTTGGGTCAGTCACAGTTCTCTCAGAGCTGTTCTCTCAGGAGCAGTCCTCAAAAGAAGCTCTCTCAGCCCCACCTACCTCACAGGGTGTCTGTTGTGGGGAGGGGAAGGGAAAGGAGTCTGTAAGCCACTCTGAGACTCCTTTGGGTAGTGAAGGGCGGGGTATAAATCCAATCTTTCCTCCTCCTCCTCCTCCTCTAATCTCTGTAGTCTGGAGATCACTTGGAATTCTGGGAGGTCTGCAGCTCCTACCTAGATGTCGGCAACCCCATCTTCAATAATCATTAGATTCTATTCAAGGTAAGCATTTTGGGGGGTGTAATGGAATTAGATTATAGCAAAAATTAAAAAGTTGACCATTTAGAAACCAAGGAGGTGTTTTCTTGAAGCTAAGCCTATGTTAGGGAGTGGAAAAACCTTTTCCATACATTAACAAGTAGATCAAAATGAACTTCACTGTCTTGTGGCAAACTGTACGTCTCCTTAATGTTTATGCACTCACATTTGGGGTCAAGGTCAAGGTTCCCTTGCTTGAAAGCCAGTCGAATCCGACCCTAGGGTTGCGGTACTCATCTCCGTTTCAAAGCCGAAGAGCCAGCGCTGTCCAAAGACATTTCCGTGATCATGTGGCCGGCATGACTAAACGCCAAGGCGCACGGGAACGCTGTTACCTTCCCGCCGAAGCGGTACCTATTTAGCTACTTGCAATTTCTTGCTTTTGAACTGCTAGGTTGGCAGGAGCTGGAACTAGAGACGGGAGCTCACTCCGTCATGCAGCGCACTTGGGTCTCGAACTGAACTACCGATCTTCCACAGCCTGCAGTTCAGCATCTTAACCAGTTGAGCCACCTACATTTGGGGTAGTGGTCTCCTAATAACTTCATAGCCGAGTGGGAACTCGAATGCAGGTCTGGGGAAGCAGAGGGGAGGGAGCCACTTCGCTATAGCATATAAGTGACCAGTGATAAGGAGACAGGGACAGTTTCAAGCAGACAGAACTGTGCCTTCAGCAGTGTAGTAGGGAGGGAAATTGTCCTTTGAGTTAGTTAACAGAGGAACCAAATGACCCTCACACACTCTTATTCTCCTCTTCAAAATATTCCAAGGCACTGCAATTGGCTGGGTGCTTCATAGAACACCAGAGGTGAGGTCTTTGCCCCAAGGAGTTTACAATCTGGAATCTGCCATAAGGGAGACAAGAGAGGCAGGTGGAGACTAACAGTGGGTGGGGAGTAAACATTTGGGGAATAGGGGGGGGAGTCACTGTATGCCACTGTATCTGAAGAAGTGAGCCGTGACTCAGGAAAGCTCCTACCCTGCCACATATTTTGTTAGTCTGTAAGGTGCTACTGACGCTGAACTGCAGGCTGTGGAAGGTCAGTAGTTCAGCAGTTCGAGACCCGGGTGCCGCATGATGGAGTGAGCTCCTGTCTCTAGTTCCAGCTCCTGCCAACCTAGCAGTTCGAAAGCAAGAAATTGCAAGTAGATAAATAGGTACCACTTTGGTGGGAAGGTAACAGCGTTCCGTGCGCCATGGTGTTTAGTCATGCCGGCCACATGACCACGGAAACGTCTTCGGACAGCGCTGGCTCTTCGGCTTTGAAACGAAGATGAGCACCGCAACCCTAGAGTCGGATTCGACTGGCTTTCGAGCAAGGGAACCTTTACCTTTACCTAAGGTGCTACTGGACTCTTGCTCTTTTCTACTGCATGCCAAAGATTTGTAGAGGTGTTTTTGAGAAGGGCAGGGGGGGCACCCCCACAGGTGAATGGGGGCAGAAAAAAGGGGTGCCAGGTCCCTCCTGGCCACCGGTGGGAGATTGGGGGGGGTAGTTGACAGATCCAGGCTGGGAAACTCCTGGAGATGTGGGGATGGAGCCTGGAGAAGACAGGGAGCTCAGTGGGGTGCAATGCCACAGAGTCCCCCCTCCAAAGCAGCCATTTCCTCCAGGGGGACTGATCTCTGTAGTCTGGAGATGAGCTGTCATTCCAGGGGATCCCCAGGGCCCACCTGGAGGCTGGCATCCCTAGGGGCAGATCCAGGCATGAGCGGCAGCAAGAGAACTATAGGGGGCATCAGGATCCCAGGAAACCCCTCTAGCCTGCTGCAAAGACCCCACCCCACCCCATTTGACTTCTGCCCTCTGCCTTCTTCCGGAAAGGGGGAGGGGGAAGTGGACAAGCTGCAGAAACCTAACTCCCCCCCGCCCTTTGAGAATAGGTTGCCGAACACCTCCCCCCTCCCCCTCTTG